GACAAAAAAATTTATTTAAATACAATATTTTGGCAAAAAATTAACTTAGAATAATCTTTTTCCAAAATATTCTCCTTTTGTGAAAAATGCTTCTATTATAATAATATTTTGCCCATACATAGCTCATACCTCTTTAACCCGCGATCACTCGCGCGGGGTGTTCTGTACACCCCAGCAACAAGAAAATTCTCCCAGGATTCTAAAAAGAATGCGCAGAACCACGATTTTTTTCTGTAGCTGCACATTTTAGGTCATTGAACCTTCAGGCCTGATGCAATCCCTCTTTTTCGAATGATTGGAAAATAATGACCTTCAAAAGTTTATCTGGGGGGGCTGAGAACTACCTCGAGAAGTTGAGCATTTGTATACAGTCTGCTCTGAATGTTCGGAAAATGATTAAAATATTATTTTTTTACTTTCTACTATCATTATCTCATTAATTATAAAGTATATTTATTACTGGTATATATGTTTCAACTGGCTTATGAAAAAATATAAAATTATGTGTTTTAAAATGAAAATTTTGTAGGTTTAGTTTAAATTAATGTTAGTCTCATTTGTATGCAATAAATTTAATAATTTTATTTGTATAACACAAAAAACATCTTGTACTTTATAAATATGTATCATAATGACTTAATTTTATTTTCATAAATAAATACACGTGCTAAAAGTTTGGGGTGTTCTCTACACCCCGCGAGTAACGACGGTAGCAAAAACAGGCGCGAGTGACCGTGGGTTAAAGAGGCTAACTATAACTATAACTTATGTAATTTTTATTAGTCATAAATAGATTATAGTGCTCTACATTTTTAAGTTAATATTTTCGTTTTAAATTTGATATGATAGTTGTAGCTGTATTAATTAATTTTTGAATATTGATTCCGAAAGAATCTGCCCCATGGAATAACGATCACTGTCGCAGTTAACTATTGATGTTCCTGAAATTATATCTCTGTAACATAAACATGTTACAAAATAAATTCACTGAATACTGAATTAGTACTCATGTACATTAAAACCTGTTTTTGTGCGGTAGATAGGGACCGTATTAAAAGTAAAGCGGAAGAAAAATATTCGAAGATTTCGTAAATAATTATAAATAACGAACAATCTTGTGTTGACATACTACATAAATTTTTAATATGAGGCGCAAAGGATCCGTATAAAAAAGTCGCACTTAAAAAATATATTAATTATTTATGAAATTCATTAGAAAGTACTTCCAACTAAAATAAATAGTTAAATTACACTAGAAAACTTTTTAAAATGCCGGTTGTGTGGCGTGGTTGGTTTCTCGCTGCCCTTCTGCACCTAAGGTTGCGGGTTCGACCCCGGCTCAAGTCGGCGGATTTTCATGATACAGAAAATTGGCAGTGGTCATTTAGTATGATAAAATGGCATGCAAAAGATCCCTAGAGTATTAATGTTTTGGGTGCTCTCGGCAAAATTAAATCCCAGAATGGGTTCGCACACATCGTCAGAGCTCAGATGCCTCCCTCTGGGGAGGAAACAGTGCGTCAAAATTATTTGCGGAGATTGGTCTCCGTCTATATAATGCCGCAGTAAAAATAGATACCAGTTTCCGGGAAAGGTACTAGGTCTTCAACAGTAAAACACCAATGTGCAGCCCATTAGAAATAAAAAAACATTCTTAAAACATTAAATTTCTCATTGTATACATGGCAAAGTTTTTAAAATGCATGTATATAATTCACTGCTACTCATTGTAATTCTAAGTGCGCATCTATCTGTGATGAATTAGTTCAAAATCGCTTTCCTCACTTGAAGAAATAATTCCAGTTGATTTATTTATGGGTACCATAAGGTAAGCGATAAATTTTTGAGACGACGGTTGGTTGATCAGTTGGTTATAAACGTCCTGATAATCAGGTATGCAAGATCTAAGTTCTTTTTGGAATTTCAAACTTCTTTCGAAACTGGTGTCTATTTGAAGGAAATGATTTTCCGAATTGTTGGAAAGCACGGTACCTGCATATATTTTATCCGCAGTCATATAATCATGTTGTTCTTGTCTGTCTTCATAGTTGATAATCTCAAAATTCACTATGAAATTATTGATTATGTCAAAATTTGCTGTCAAATTGTTGATAATGTCACTTTCATTGGCAGTTTTGACGCAGTGCACGCTGCTAACACGTCAAGTTACGCCAATTCAACGTGCATTGTCAGAAGACTAATGATCAGAGGTTCTGGAAGTGTATATATGTGCATTAATAGAAAAGACGACGTCATTAAAATATATATACCACGTATAAAAAAGCAAAAAAAAAGAAGTTGCTAACAAATCGTATAAAAAAGGGCAGCACAAAAACAGGTTCTATTGTATTAGAAGTTTTAGAAGTATACAAACATAAAAACAACAAGAAATGCAAAATACATCTCTTAAACATTTTATCGGATTCTTTTTTTTCTTTTTCTGTTTGTGTCTATGTACAGTAACCCCTTTAGTTGTACCTTTTGTACTAGACGAATACTACGTTCATAATAGATAATACTTATGTACTAGATGAATACTACATAATAGAAAATACTTATGTACTAGATGAATACTACGTTCATATTAGTAGTAACAATGCATTCATAATCTTTGTAATAAACTTTAATAGATAATGTAATAGAGATATTATTAACCAAGATAAATCTAAATTTATGATTTCTCTGTTGGAAATTCTTACACCCCAATTTATCTTTTAATGGGGATTATAAATTCGAAACAACTGCAGAATTTATTTATCTGAAACCAGTTTTGAACAAACACATTGATATCCTACTGAAATAACGAGACGAGTTATTGTATCTAATAGAGCTTTTAATGGTTTGAAGCTCTTACTTAGATCTGGATTTGTATCTTAAGAGACACAAAGCTATTATTCTACAAAACCCTAAGTCGTTCTATCCTGCCATATGCTTCGGAGACTTGGACTATGCTCATGAAGGAAGAAAGCAATTTTATGCTTTTGAATTCAACGTTCTAAGAATTGTTTTGGAAGGAATTTAGGAAAATGGTATATTGCGTAGAAAACACAGCAACGAATTTTACTTAATGTTCAAAGAGACAGATGCTGCCCAATGCATTAAAATAAAAAGCTTCAGTTGTATTGGGCATGCTATTCATATGAACGACAGTAACATACTAAAATAAATCTTTTCCGTTATATTACGCAACACTAAAATAGTAGATCATGGTGGATAGAAGTATGAGAAGGATTGGTTTTGGTCCATAAAAGAATTGGAGGAGTTCAGTAGTGAGTAGAAGATGCTGAAAACATCTGGTTCAATAGGTACTTGGCCCACCTTGAGTTGATGCTTTATGGATAGTGAATTCAATAAAAATATAATATCACAAATAAAATAGTCTTAGTAAAAAGTTTAAAATTCAGACAATAAAAAAGTTTAAAGAATTTGATAGGTTTCTATGAAGTAGTTTTTAAGAATGTAATGTATAAGTATTTTAAATTTCCGTTAATACAAGCAAATACCTTTCAAAGAAAGAATTTGTTGGTAGTTAAGTGTATGTAACTACACTATTAAAAACCTTAGGTAAGCAAAAGTATCTATCTATCTATGTGAGCCTATCTTCTCATGAACCGCTCAACACAGAAACGTGCCAAGGGTACTAAAAGCTGGGAAATGTTCCAAAGAATACAGTTTCATTGTTTAAATTCCAATATTATAATTAGTTAAAAAATCTATTAAATAAAAACCTTATAAAACCAGTTATCAACGACAACTTTTATTCGTTTACATTCTTGTAACTGTTAAATCTGTGGCATAAGTTGACTTCAAGAACCGGTTTTCAGCCAAACTGGAATTTTAAGACGTAGCCTTTTTGACTGAATCCATTCACTGATTAAAAAAATAAATGCTTTTAGCATGTGATTAACTTGAAATATTTAGTTAAAATCACAATTTCTAAGACGTATGGAATTTTATACAAATGTCTATGGATTTTCTTTAGTTATTAGATACATTTTTAAGTTAACAGTGTGTATTGCCTGATTGGGGAATTAATATTTGAAATCCATTTCATTATTTTAGATTCATAAAAATGAATTATCTTTAAAAATAAGGAATATATTTAGTTTTTTTTTTTTTTTTTTTTCAATATACACTATATAACAATAAATAAATAAAATAAAATAAAATAAAATAAAAAAGACGACGCACCCAAAAGGATTTACCCGATTGTAATGAAATTTCGTATGCAAAGATGTTTGTACTGGGCATGCAACTGATTAAAAATTGGTGTTCAATGAATGAATAGCGGGAGCTACTGCGTATTGGAACTACGCACTCAGCATGTGTCTATAAGAAACGATTATCAATCTGATGGTGGAAATTTCTCTAGCACTGCGATTTAGGATACCTTTCAACGACTGAAAAAATGTCTCATCTCAGGATTCGAAGCCATTATGAGCAATTGCCAGAGTTTGAAAGAGGTCGTATCATTGGACATACAGCTTGTCCAACACTTCCTTGGCCAGACAGATTGCCAGATCTCTCTCTAATCCACCATGTCTGGGATATGATGGGAAGGTGACTGCATCGACCAGGGAATGTTGATGACCTGGCGCACTAATTGGAGCAAGTATGGCAAGAAATACTGCAGGAGACCTCCAGGGGGTTTTATCATTCCCTGCAATGTCGTTTGTCAGCTTGCATCCAGGCTAGAGGTGGGTCAACAACTTATGGAGCTCGTTACTTTGTAACTCTGAAATGAATCACTCAATTTTGCTGAAATTCTAATCATTTTCTATTCTGTGTGTACGTAATATTTCAAGTCCTTTCTTGGTGCGTATTTTTTTGAAGTTATACTTCTTTTGGGGCGTTAGAGAAATAGGAGGACGGTAAATTTTTACAATGCGCGCACACCATCACGGGTGCGAAAATCATTTGTCTAGTAATATACAGAACGGAACAAATCATTCCTGCCTTCGAAATTCTCAGAAAAATATTTCTCTTTACTTCCCTGAAGAAGGGGACACCCGGGTTTGTACCAGAGACCTCTTGATCCGCAGTCAGATGCTCTACCACTGAGCTATACCCCCGCCTCAGCGAGCCTTTGTTTTGCGTTCCGTAGGAACGGATAAAAAAAATGCTTTGTCTAGAAATATGCAAAACGGGACAGATCATTACCAACTTCGACCCCCTCCCATATTATTGGTCCTATTGTCCCTGTGCGGGGGTGTTTAAATTTATTTAAATCGTGATTGTCTCAGGTTTGGTTGGTCCGATTGACTGAAGGTTAGTATCGTTAACTCTGCTCGTGACCGCCTTTCGTCCTTGGCCCAGCTTACCCTGCTAAAGATTTTTAGAAAGATTTTAATCTTGTTACGCCAAAGAAGTATAACTTCTTACGTGCGTACATAAGTACACACACACTTTTCTTTTTTCTTTTTTGTTATACAGTTTATTATCCCCAAAACTTCTTCTTTTTATTGCTTTAAATCAATATTTTTCTTAATTAAAGCAATATTACTTTTGGAATATATCAGTCAAAATTAAATACTTGGAGAAATATCTAATCCATGGGGAAAAGAGTTCGGTACTCTAAAAAGCCCGTACAACGCCAGGCTAGACAGAGTGACCGCCGGTTAGACCTGTTTTGCAATGAAAACAAGTGGGAGAAATTTTGGAAAAGGGAATTTTAATTTCATTACTATAGAAATCCCTTCCTTCACACATCAAAAGTGCTGTCGTTTACAAGAGTAGGGGAAATTTCCATGAGGATAAAGATATAGTCACGGTAAAATCCCATACAAAGCATGCTAAGTGGAATTCAAACAGATCCATTCGACGGGGCAAAGAGGTGGTAGAAATTTAAAAAAAGGGAATTTTATTGACATTTGTTTAGAAGTCACATATTCACACACACCAACAAGTGCTGACACCGAGTGGGGATCAGGAAATTTTCCATTGGCAGTAAATTATACACTGGAAAAGCCGTGTAACATCGGGTCATATAGCTAGTTTTAATATATTATTTGTAAATTCAATGAAACAGGAAAAAGTGTTCATAATAATGCATTAGTTTCAAGTAATTCCATGTAAAATTGTGAACAACCGTTTTGAATGTATTTGCTTAAACTCTGAATGGAATTTTAAAAAAAACTGGATTCATTTATAAAATAAAGATACAGAAATGATTAATATATGTATAATGATTAATATATGTTATTGCAAACGCAGAAAAAAATTACTTTTATTGAAAGAAACCCACAACAAACTTTTATTTAGAGTTCAAACTTATGCTCTTGTACGGAAGAAGTAATTTAAATATTAATAAACCTATTACAAAATGAATTCATATCGCGACATTTTCGAAAACGAAACATATGAATATTTAATTATCACGAGTCTTTTAATAAACTTTTCTGAATCATATATATACAAGTAATTTTCTTAAAATGAATTTACTTCTTTTAACAGAGTCTCTGTAAATACTACTGACAAGAAGGGAAACCAATATACGTGATTGAAATACCAAAATATTATTGGTGTTCCTTAAGGTATCCGACTACGTTCGGAACCGTGATTTTTCAAATGCGTGTAAATGGATAATATTTATGATATTTAGTGTCACTTAGATTAGAATACATGTATAAAATAGTTTTAAGGATATTATGACAAAAAAAATTATTTAACCCTTTAAGCGGTCTGCACTTAAAGTCTTGCCATTCTGGAGATGCTTCAAAAATGCACCACACATATTTTTTTGCTTTCAGGTGGGGTCTTCAAAAGCAGTTGAGCCGTATTTTTAAGAATTCGGCTCGGCCGCTTTTGGGAATCTTGCTTGAAGGCAGAAAAAGCATCTCTGGAATGGCGGAATTTTACGTGCAGACCGCTTGGAGGGTTAAATACAATATTTTGTCAAAAAATTAACTTAGAACAACCTTTTTCCAAATGTTCTCCTTTTGTAAAAAATGCTTCTATTAGATTAATATTTTGCCTGTATTCAGCTCAGACCTCTGTACAGAGGCTCAACTCTAGAATTTTTGAAATACATAACTTGAAAGTCGATTTATCCATGTTTTACGAAAACAGAAGGGAGAAATTTTAAGAAAATAAGCCGATAATTATTTCAAATGGTTGTGACTCTGAAAATAATTTGAACTTCAAAAATCATAGTTGAGCCTCTGTACAGAGGTCTGAGCTATATACAGACAAAATATTAATACAATAGAACAGTGCTTCTCAAACTTTCAATACTGGCGCCCCCCTTTTCAATCACAATTTTTATCGCGCCCCCCCCCTAT